CATGCGCGGCAGTATTCGCCTTTAAACGTTCTGGGGCGGGGCGGGGCGGGGGAAGAGGAGCAGGTTGTGCCCAGGCCGGTCCTACGGGGTGCATGTGCACAAGTGTGTGAGCACACACGGGTGCCGTGTGCAGGGGTTAGCACCAGTGCACAAGAAGTCCTTGTGTATACACGTGCGCTATTATTTATGGTTATCGTTGGTTTATTTTTTTTTCTGGCGTCTGGACCTTGACCAGGAAACGCGGGGCGGGGGAAGAGGAGCAGGTTGTGCCCAGGCCGGTCCTACGGGGTGCATGTGCACAAGTGTGTGAGCACACACGGGTGCCGTGTGCAGGGGTTAGCACCAGTGCACAAGAAGTCCTTGTGTATACACGTGCGCTATTATTTATGGTTATCGTTGGTTTATTTTTTTTTCTGGCGTCTGGACCTTGACCAGGAAACTTTTATCTCATTAAAAAAACTGATTATCCAGCATGCACACGTAATTCTAGGTAGGCAGCGAACACAGCTGTATTTGGTCCGCCCCCCCCCCCCCCTAGCCAAATCCACTGCTTTATGGTTTTTCTCGAACAGGGGCAAGCAGGGTAGTTGCCTGGGGCAGTATGTGAGACGTGTTCCCTGAAGCTAAGTGATATGTTTCAGTCTCAATTGGTGGGGCTTAGACTTCAGACTCCTCAAAGGGTACAGGCTGTCCTTACTGTAAGTCCAAGATGTGTTCAAAAAAACTTGGGCTTACAGTGAAACAACTTAGAGGGGAATTATTTTCCCCATGGCTGATTTCCATTTGTACAAATTGGGGAGGTTTATTGCATGACTTAAGAGAGGGGAATGGGAGGATGCATTAGTTCCTACAAGAGTCAGTGACTTTAGTGCAGAATGGGTGTATATTGGGGCGATTTAGAGCGGAGCCATCCTGTGCTACAGTCTGGAAAGATTGAGAACCACTGTCCTATACTGTGTAAATTAGGGATGCAAAATCCCGTTTAGTTAAGATCTAAATATAGTATTTAACCTGTTAACTGATTGCGGGGGGAGGGGAGCTGCTTCATGCTCCCTCAGCTAACCATAATCTGAAAGCGTCACCTGGCAAGGGTGATACTTACTGGTAAACCAGTTAACCATTAACATAGCTAGTGTGAGTGCCTTTTGTGTTGCTAGTATTAGCACAGTGCAACAAACTGTGGAGGCCACCTAGAGACAGAATTACAAACAGTCTTAATTTAAAAGCATTTGTCACCTTGTAATTAATGCCTTAAACATTAAAATTGAAAGGGTCTAATTTAAATGTCTCTATTTGCTATTACTTCAGACACTGAAACTTGAACAATGAATGCACACTAATGGTTTTCACTTTTGATGCAGAAGTATGATGCTGCAATGTAAGAGCTTGCAGGCACAACAGGATACTTTTTGAAATCCAAAACCTTTTTTACAAATGCAAAAGCTTGCATTGATTGGGGGGGGGGGGGGGGGGGATTTTAAGCAAAATCTAATTTTGTGCCTCATCTGCCTGACAGTAGGGAGGTAGGACTGCCTTGTGATTCTGTCATGCTCAGGATAATATGCACAAGTGTATATTCATAAAACTAAGGTTAATATAA